TAAAATCCTTTTAATTATATAACAGTCAAAAAGTTAAATGTACCTATATATAATGTACATTGTGTATGTCCGTAATAGACTACTACATAAATATAAATATATTTCTAAACTTGAATAAATGTAGTATATAACTTTAGGCGAGAAACAGAAAATTACAATATTAACTTTATTACTTGCAAATTTCTTGTGTTAAAGATTATTAACGGAATTAAAGAGTGAATTTCTTTTAATCTTAATTCAGTCTGAATAAATATGTGTTAGGAAATTTATTTTATTAAATATTATGATCCGTTTTTCATTTTAAGTAAATACACACATTTAATATAATATTATTAAAGTACCGAAACAGACAATTTGAGAAAACGGTATGGAATTTGTTATTAAATTGGTTATCATAATATATATTTTTTTTGTTGAAAAAACAGTGAAGGTGGCAGGAAAATATGTTGTAATGCGATAATATCCTCTTTAACTGATGCATCACATAAAATTATATAGCCTACATACATGAAGAGTAAAATTATTAGTTTGTACAATGTAAATTATTTGTTTTAAAGTATCAAAAAATATATAAATCTTAATTCTACAAATGTCTAACCAAAATAACTCTACCAACTAAAATTAAATATCTAGACCTATTCAATAAGAATATTTTTTTGAACTTTCATATATGTCATCGTTTTCAAAATTTAGACGTAACAAAAGAGAGAGAACCGTTATCAGATTGATAATTTTGTAAAAGGTAGACGACCTGTAAACGAAAGAAATAACATAAACTGAAGTCAGCAAAACATGAAGTCTAGGCTGTAAAGAACATCCTTAACTAAACTAATCATTTGTAACTTAAACCCATTCAAACAATTTCAATGGAAGCTTGTTTCTTTGAGTTACAAAACATTTAAAAGGACTAAAAATTTATTATTATGTTTACAGTAGAAAGATTTGAGTATTTATGTCTCTCTAGTGTTAATTTTTTTTATGTTAAAGGGGGCCACCGAGCAGACGGCCTACCCGACGGAGGTAGCACCGTCGCCCATGGACATCCGTGGCATAAGACATGTTGCGGATGTGTCACCACCCTTGATTTGGGAAGAGAAGAAGGAAAAATGGGAAGGGGAGGAAAAGGGAAGGGGTAGGAAAGAATGGGAAAAGGGAAAGGGCAACCGGCTCTCTCACTCATCGAACGAAACGCAGCCACTAAGGGTACTTCACGCCGATCTTCTGTGAGAGGGTGGTACTTCCCCGTTAGCGCCAGCCCATGTTCGATGTTTATGTTTGATCCTTAAATTAAATATACATATATTGAATGAGGTTAAACATTCATGACAATTGACATAAAACACACTACTACATATACACATGTAAAGTATACTTATTTATATACGTAGTGATGAACTACACATCACCTAACTCATAGTGCTTGTAAAAATTATTGTCTGTTAAACTTTAATAAGAAGAAATAAAATAAAAATTATATTCCTTTGTATGGGTTGGAAATGTCTTGAAAACAAACTTGAAGTTATTTGTGAGTGAGTGTAAGCAATAATTACTTAATACAAATTAAAATAAGAACAAAATATATATGTAAGATAGAGAGTGACGACAAAAGTACCTAGTTCTAGGAAATACTAAGTCTAGATTCTGCTATTTAGAATTCATTCGGTAAAGAATAAATATCTAATTAGAATTACTATTTACTAAGGCATATGGTATATTTGCCAAAATTAAACTTATATTTTTGAATAACTACGCGTTATTTTATTATTTTAAAACTAAATACTCCCGACATTTCTGTTACGTAGAAAATATCATTTTCATCTCGTCTGCCCGTCATAACTGTGACTACAAAGTAAGCGATACGTCGGGAGTATGCAGTTTTGAAATAATAAAATAAAACGTAGTAATCCGAAAATATCAGTTTTATTCGAATGAATAGTCTTGAATGTCATATATCTGGGTATATTTACTTTTATAAAAACATAATGTACAATATACATGTTTATTTTTGGTCCATTAAAGTGAGTTTCAAATAATAACAAGCCTCTTAACAAATAATAAATAACTAATGAAATAGATTTTGTGATAAACAAACACATTATTTTGTAAATTGAGAATACCTTTTCGAAACTAATTTCCATTTATCCTACAATGCTGAAAAAATTGCAAGTGTGTCGCGGATATCCAAATAAGTTAGACTCAATATAAACAAATGTTTAAAATAATAAAACAATATATATATACAAACATTAAAAAACGTCCGATATATTTAAATATATGTATACAATTACTTAATCAGTGTACTCTAGTAATTACCACGATGACGAAACGAACATTATACAATCATATCAAATTAACAATGTCTTCTCTTTGAAACAATTTGAAAAGTCATATACCTATATAAATATACGAAATGCATATTAGAGAGGAGTCTCACAAATTGCTTGGACGAGATACAAAGAGAAATTCTGAGTGACAATTTGAAAGAAGAATTGTAGCGAATAATGAAATAGTTATGAGATATGATAGCGACGAAGTAACTTGCTATTCACTTTAACGTACACAAGAATGAACATCAAACCTACTCTCTCTGATAAGTAAAATATACATAATACATGCTAATATCTTTCCTGTATGAAGTCGACGAAATTATAAAAATTAGTGGTTCGAGAGAAACAAGTACAAGACTATAAAAAAATTGTTTAAAGGATAATGGAAAGAACAAAAGAAGCTTCTTTTAGAGAGTTTAACTCACCCACTTGTAATGATATAAATAAGGTTAGCTTAATCGAAAACAGAAAGCAAAAACAATCGGGCTCGTCCGGGATTTGAACCCGGGACCTCTCGCACCTAAAGCGAAAATCATACCCCTAGACCGAGCCGATGAGTATTCAATCTCAAAAAATTATAAAATTACTTAAACATTATTATTCCAGTATTTCTTTGGGAAATTAAATAAAATTGTAACTATTTAAGCTTATGTATTTAAAATAAATATAATCATAGTAAACATAAAAAGAGATCTATTGTGAATGCAACGTATTCTTGGATTTACAACGTATTTACGTTAAGTGTTTAAAATGTCTCTTTTTTCCATAAAATATATGTAAGTACATATTAAGTATATCTAAATGAAACACAAATATGTTAAATAAAATAAGAAGAACCTTTTAAACTGTGTAAAGAGTTGCGATACCTCCAGTATTGAATTTGTATAACGTGTTGGTGAATTTAATCTCATGTACGAACTAAAACTATTTAAAATCTGTTAAACAGGTTTGTGCCAGATGCTGCAGTTTATAAACCCCCCGGGAGGATGTCTGTCATATTAAAGGAACGTGTTTCACAATCAAAAGTTGAAGAGAAAAATGTACTCCAGCAACGTAAATTTTTTATACATCCTTAAAATCGGTGATTATAAAAAAATACATTTAATATAACACGTTGTTATAAAGAATCGTTGGCTTCCTTTATTTGACTGGTTGATATTTAATATTCTCTGTATCCAAGTAGTTACTGCATACAGAATATATATTTATGTATTTCTCGAAGATCAGGGAGATGAAGGAATAATTGCTATCTCCATCAATTTAGATACTTTTATTTGCTTATTGTGATTGTGCTTAATTGCGAGTAGAATTGAAGAATCTAAAGATTAAAGTCGTGGATTAAAATACATCTTTTATAATATGTTAAAGAAGAAGTCTTTTAAATAGTCTTAGTATTTGAAGGTTGTTCTCGTATTTCAATTAATTGATTTAGTTAAGTTGGCAGTTTACATGTCTTTTATCGTATTGTATCGCATTTGCAAGTAAAAACAAAATGTGTACATTACTTCCTTGTGAATATATACTTAATGTATATGATTCTTTGTTTCATCTTGACATCACCTTCAAACTTAATATTAAAGATACTCATGATAAGTTTATAAAAAGTTTTCTTCAAGTTAGGATTTTAAAATTTTAAATCCTTATTCTTATCCGTCATCAATAAATATGAAAAGGAAAGTAATTGTTGTAGCCAACTTAAGAGATTAATTCATTTTTTTAGAAAACAATGTACACCTAGAAATCTTGTTATAAATTGTATTATATAAAAAAAATTAAAAGAATCGTTTTTACCGACTTTAAAAATGTGGTTTTCAACTCGATCCGCGTGTATATGACAAGTGTGAGTGAGATAAATATAATTTTATTAATTATTAACACAATATATATTAAAAACCGTTTATCTTCACAGCTCTTACAAACTTACTATGGTAATATAATAATTACTTTATAATAAAAATACAAAAGACATTGTTGGCAATAATTTTTAGTTGAGATAAAGTTAAACTTTGTTATTTTATGAAATGAAAATAATATTATGACAATTCTTACGTAAGCGAAACATTTTAAAAATAAATGAATATAGGCGGGGTAACATCGTTGAATGGATAAAATATCATATAAAGAGTGAAGCTGCTGACCTCTTCGGAATGAATACCAAGCCGTGTGAAGCAGAAGTTTCCTGCTACCACACAAGCAAAGTATGGAATGATATTGCTATAATAACATCGGGGCAATCATGTAGTCTTAGGTGACGGTTATAAGTTTTAATATGTAATTCTTATTATAATATAGTACATATAAGTTAGTTTCGTAGTTTTCCTAGATCCTGTGGTATCGCCTCGAACTAAACAAATTGTTTTGTCGGCGTTATGACAATACATATGAATTATTTCATGATGTCTGTTCTGATTTCAGTTATCAGTAGGATACATTATAATTGTCTACAGTTGTAAACGATACTCAAAGGCCATAAAAAAAAGTTTCCCGCATAAAACATTTTTAGTTTAAGTGTCATAAGAATTATAAAACATACATTCATAATATGATTCCAATATAATAGTCTTAACAAATAATCACTGGTACACTAGTTACTTGCACATTTTAAAATAATATATTACCGCTGAGATTCGAACGCACTTCCATCGTTGTATGAACTGCACAGTAAATTGATAGTTATTGTTGACTGGGAGCGTGGCGCCTCTTGTAATCCGTGCTACTCGGAGGTCGGGGTCGAGGGATGGTTTGAGGTTTGAGGTCCTGGGACTGAGATGGCCACAACAACCGGATGGCCACATTCAAGCCTAGTATGACTTTGATCTTCTGGAAGAGTCTAGACTCTAGAAGGTGCATTCTACGGAGGGAGAGCAGGTCGGGCCCAGGGAGAAAACTCAGGGACCGAGGATCCCTTCGGACCGGGCTGGAGTGGAATATAGCCGGGAGTGTACTAACTCAGTAACAGCCTAACCGATATAACCAGACCCTTCCCTATTTTGTATTTATATTTTTAATGCTTTTTATTATTATTTTTTTTTATGGGAAAAGGGGGCTCTCTCACTCACCGGACGAAACGCAGTCTTGTAAAGACTACTTTACGCCGATTTTCTGCGAGAGGGTGGTACTTCCCCGGTCGAGCCAGCCCATGTTCGAGCTGTAGTAACTGACCACAGCTAGGCTCTACCACCTCAAATAATTAAAATTGTTTTAAATAAATCAATTCATTAAAATTGACATTGAGATAGCTCATTTGTAATTTAACTACCTATGACATCACTCTTAAAGCACAGAAAAAATTTACTGCCATATTTACTTTACATAACTGATAAATTTAAATAAAGTTTTCCTTATAGTCACAATAAAACCAGCATATAGGGGTACTTTGTTTATTTTTTCAATGTTTAACCTATATATCCGGATTCGACCCAAATATTAGCGTATTATAATATAATCTATATGAACGTAGGGTTTAAATAACATATACAGTTAAGTGACTATAAAAAAATATATTGTTCATACGAGTTCATATGAGATGTTTTGTAATATCTTATAGTGTTAACTGATAATTTATGAATGAATGAATAAAATTCTGAAATGGGCCACTTATGTATGATTTCATAAATATAGTAAGTATGAGTTAACAATTCTTAAAAAAATGAATTTTCTTTGAACAATGTTATTGGTATCACACCAATAAAATATTTACTCTACTATTTAAAAAAAACTTAAAACTAGATAAAAATACTTTTATTAGAATATCAATATTATTTTATTCAAATAATATTTACGCAGCATAACAGAGAACTATGTTTTTTACTTTATTAGCACCTTGTGTAGTTTTTAATTTATGGAAATTTGGATCATCTTGGCTTCGATATCATTAATAATACTTGTTCTCTTCTAGGCTTTAAATCTTTTGCACTATGAATGAAAAGTTTATAAAACATTATTTGTTTTAAAGTAAAATAAAACAATAAAAATCTTACTTCTTAAAATGTCAATAACTAAATACAAATTGATAAGCTTTCTAGTTTAAGCACATTTTTTGTTAAAATTAAATATCTAAATCTATTCTATATGAATATTTTTGATATTAAACCTATATTTCATCGTTTTCAGTGAATGCAAAGTAAAAAAGGAGAAAGAACCAGTGTCAGATTGATTTACTTCTGTAAAAGCTAGACGATCTGCAAATGAAATAAATAAAAAAAAGAAGTCAGCAAGGCATGAAGTCTAGGCTGTAAAAAACATCCTTAACTAAACTAATCACTTGTAACCTAAACCTATTTCAATAGAAGCTTCTTTTGTTTAGTCACAAAATACTTGAACCGGCTAACAATTTATAATTATTTTAACAATAGAAAGATTTTATAATCTTATGTATTTATAATTATTTTAACAATAGAAAGATTTTTTAATACTTATGTATTTTTATTTCTCAAATCTTCTTATCTGATTATTTTCTAAGACTAAAAACATATTTTATGAGGTTGAAATTTAATGATAATTGACTCAAAACATACCACTGAACTTTGAACTAACTGCATATCAATAAAAACGCGTTTATAAAAAATATTGTATTTTAAACTTTGATGAGGAGAAATAAAATGAAACTATAATTATATTCAGGTTCAAGTGTCCTAAAAACTAACTTGAAATTATTTATTTTTGTTAAATAAGTATGTAACTGTAAGTAAATATTACTTAATACAAGTCTAAATAATAACAAAGCTTATAAACTTATACGTATATATACTATATTACAAGGTATAAGGTGACCACAAAAGTACTTCTTACCCACTTTCAACACTTCAATGACTGTTTATGAAAATTTTACCACTTCGATTTAATTTTGTGAAGTACAAAATTCTTATTATTCTTAGTGCTAGTGCTGCATATGGTACATTTGCTAAGATTAAACTGAAATTTTTGGATTACTAAGCGTTATTTTAATTTTTCAAACTACATACTCCCGAGGTTTCTGTTACGTTCAAAATGTCATATTCATCTCGTCTGCCCGTCATCACGTTTACTACAAATTAAGCGAAACGTCAGGAGTAGGTATGTAGCTCTAAAATAATAAAATAAAGCGTGGTCGTCATCAGCCTATCAGAGCCCACTGCTGAGCAAAGGCCTCTTTCTCAGATGAAGAAAATAAAGCTTAGTAATCTGATAATAACAGTTTTATTTGAATGAATACTAGCGAAAGTCTTAGATCTCGAAATATTTGGTTTTATAACAACATAATGTACACTATACATGTTTATTTTTGGTCCTTAAAAGTGACATTCAAATAATATCAAATCTCTTAACAAACAAATGTAAGTAAAAGTAAAAATCGCATCAAATAAACACATTATTTTGTAATTTGAGGAATACCTTTTCGTAAACAATTTCCATTTATCCAACAGAACAGCAAGTGTGTCACGGATATCGTAAGAATTTTAACTCAATATAAATAAATGTAAAACATAGGCTAAAAATATATGAAAAAAAAAACATTAACAAAAGTCCAAGGTATTTAAATATATGTATTATTAGGAATAATTTGGGCAACACTTCCACTTAGATGTTAACTGCTCCACAACTTGTAACCGAATCCCCAGTCTAATACTTGTATCGTATGTATAATATTCAAAAGTAACATTTAGATGAGGATAGGTTATAATATATATTAGGCGCTAGGTCCCCTTATAAGAGTTTCCATTAAATAATAAAACCATTAACATAGTGTCAAACATGCTAAGGCTCTACTTATAAATTATAAAACCAATTGTTAAGTATTTGGACATTTAAATTATTGTACAGAAATATTATTAACATTAATTTACACTATTATAACAAATATGTAGATGGCGCTAGTTGACTGTTATAAGAATTCCCAATAAATATTAGAATATAATATTAGAATATAAATAACGTGAAGCTTAGAATTGTAGAGTAGACAAATATTTAAATCATAATAAATAATTATTACTAACAATATATTATCATTCATCACTTATAAGTGAATCCTACAAATGATCACTATGACGAACCTAACGTTATACAGTCATAAAATTAACAATGTCTTCTCTTTGAAACAAATATTATACATATATAAATATACGCAATGCATATTAGAGAGGAGTTTCAAAGATTGCTTGGATGAGACACAAAGAGAAATTGTGAGTGACAATTTGAAAGAAGAATTGTAGCGAATAATAAAATAGCGACAAAGTAACTTGCTATTCCGATAAATGTTCACAAGAATGAAACCTACTCTCTCTGATAAGTAATACGTACATAATACATGTTAATATCTTTAACATATAAAGTCAATGAAATTCTAAAACTTAATGGTCTAATAAAAACATGCACAAGAATATAAGGAAAATAATTTAAAGGCAAAGAATACAATTTCTTTAACGTTGATAAAGAAGCTTCTTTTAGAGAGTTTCACTCACCCACTTATAAGGTTATAAATTCTATGAGTCCGTCGAAAATAGACAGCAAAAACAATCGGGCTCGTCCGGGATTTGAACCCGGGACCTCTCGCACCCTAAGCGAAAATCATACCCCTAGACCAACGAGCCGATGAGTATCCAGTCTCAAAAAATTCTGAAACTACTAAAACATTATAATTCCAGTACTTCTTTGGGAAAATATATAAAATTGTAACTATTTTTACTTACGCACTTAAAATTCCTTATAAATACATATTAAGAATCCATATGTAATAAACATATTACCCATAAATAAAAGAGATTTGTTGTGAATGCAACAGTGTTAGAATATATATGTTGAAATGAAATATTATAAAGAAAAATAATTATATTGAACAGAAAAACATTTTAAATATTGCGATACTTCAAGTTTTGACTTTGTATAAGGTGTCGGTGAATTTTAATCTCATGTAGGAACTAAAACTATTTAAAATCTGTTAAACAGGTTTGTGCCAGATGCTGCAGTTTATAAAACCCCCGGGAGGATGCATGTCATATTAAAGGAACGTGTTTCAGTATTAAAACTTGTTAAATTGAAGAGAAAAATGTACTCCTGCTTCAAATATTCCGCCGCGTACACATGACACAACACTTAAACAATGCTAACATCTTAAAAATAAATTACCGTATGCAATCACACTCGCTACATTACTTTTTGGTATTATAAAATATCAGGTTCCACCTTACCTCTATCATAAGCTACAGTGGTTAAAAAGTAATAACAACTAGCATGTTATAACAGGATCACTGTTCAAGCTTAAAAGGCCGAGCCATAAAACGGCGGCGTTCCGAGGAAGTTTCAGGTTTTGCGCCACCGGGTGCTGGAATGACTTGCCTCCTCCTTTTCGTGACCTGAAATCGATAGGAAATTTTCGATATAAATATAAATTATACTTATTAGATAAACAAAAAAAATTCTTAAACTTAATATGTATTAATTGTTATTACTACTTGACGTTTTTAATGTTTACTCATTTAATCCGTTGCAGTTTTGTTTAGCTATTTATATTATATTCATATTTATAGCCACATACGTAAGTATGTATATTCTACATTAATTTTGACAAAATTATAATGTATGTGATTTTAATAATAATACAGCAAAATGGAATTAATTACAAAAATTTTACATATTATATAGGTACCTGTTTATTTGCGGCTCGATCGCAATAGGTAAGTAACACTGCAGCGCCTGGTGATCGCATGACCTTGGCTTCCGCGCTCAAATGCATTGTTTTTCCGTTTTTTTCATATTTCGTATAGTTTTTATGAGTTATATCTTTAAGAGAAATTATAATAAGTTATTATGTTTGATGTTAATAGGTTAAGATATGTTTGGTAAATAGAATGTTGGTTTTTGTTAAATTAAAATGTCTGTTTTTACTAATTTCATAATAATTTTATATTATACATATGTAGTTATATCTATGACGTGTTT